GAGATGCGGCTGCCGTCGGCGCGGCTGGTCCTGGGACTGTTCGCGTTCCTTTTGATCGCCATTCGTTAACCGTACCGCATTCAACTACGCGCGCTTTGGAGCTGTTTATATAAATCGACGTGCTTGTAAGAAAGTCCAGGCCGCTTTGTGTCGCGCGATGGTCGTCCTCCGGCGACGCGCGTGTCGCGTCACGCCCTTTTCTGGACCACGGTGAGAGAGAAAGGAAGAGAGGAACGCGGCCGAAGATCGAAGGAAAACGAGACGAAACGAGTTATTAGGAAGTTGTTCGATGCTGGATAAGTCGGTTGGATCGAGCTGAAAAAACGAAGGAGCAGCGAGAAAGGCAAAGCAGAGAGGAGGCAATGGACAGGGGAAATTGGCCGGTGAATCGCGAAGAACTGGATACAGCTGTATCGCGGCATCTTAATTCTCTCTACGATGATGGCGATCGACGAACCGACTTCTCGTGAAAACAGGTACATCCGTGATCGGCCAAAAATCGGAGAAGAAACGGGCAACGTCCGAGGAATATTTTATTATTAGACACTATGTATTTGCTTTCTCTTTGGCAGAAATCGTGTGTTCGCAATGTGTAGTACACACCATTTACGGTGGCATCGTTTCCAAGATGAAAATGACAGTTTTCTTTTTCATACTTTTATAAAGCCCTACAATGGACTAAACTCGTAGCGTGCATGTATATATATATATATATATATATAAAATATATATATATACATGTATATTCTATATAATATATATATGTGTGTGTGTATAATCTGTCTGTATATCCGTCTCTCACTGCCATTATTCATTGCCTCTAATTCTCTTCTTCTTTTAACTCTGTCTTTCCACCCGTGCGTCGATTTCAATTTTGAAAGAAACAAAGCGGTTCCATCACGTCACGCGATTCACCTAAACGAGCAAGAAGAACGAAACAAAATATGGAAATGCGTAAGAAACAGCGAGCGAGTAGATGTACCTGATGAATCGGATATTCGACGAGTCACTTTGCGTTGCTACTGTTATCGTGTCTGATATTCTTGTAATCGAGAGGACGATGAACGAAACCGAAGAGAAAAGATGGTGCTCTTCCCGCGCGAATTGTTCGCCGTCGTGAAAAGCTCTCGCGCGGGGGAAATAGGCGGCAACGGAGAAAACAAAAGGGCAGGACGAAAGAGGAGAAAAAATAGAAAAAAAAACAAGCCAAACAAACGAGGAAGAAAAGGACATTGGCGAAAGAAAAGTTTATCCGTTTACGGTTGGAAAAGAGAAAAAATTTGGTCGTTTGTTATCCCTACGCTTTTCTGTTCTATCCGCGTGCACACCGTGTAATTCCATCGGCAGAAGGTTATTACGTTTTCGGTTTATTAAATTAATAGCCATTTACCGTTCGATTTAATGCGTTTCCCTCCGATACATTTGTCAACCGCGTGTGACACGCCTTCGTACGTAACGAACAACAAAAGCGATTTACACAGTCACGTTCTGTTTACAATGAATATCGAGCTTACTGTTCTCCCCCGTCTGCTTCCGGTTTCGAACGTTGTTTCCTGTTGCTCACGCCGGTGCATCGTTCGCCTCGAATCGGTACGCGCACAAATTCCACGTCTTGCGACTCGCGTCGCTCGAACAATTATTTATTTATTTCTTTATTTGTCGTTTCGCAATAACGGACGAGGCATGACGATCGAGCACGAAAGAATTAGAGAGAAAGGACGAGAAAAGGAAAAGGAAAGAAAGAAGCGATACGAGGAATATCGTATATATATGTATATGTATATGTATATTATGTATTAACGAGCGATGTGTGCTAGTATTAGTTACGAATTATCGATTAAGGATCGCAACGACTGAATAATACTCTACATGATTTTCTAATTGTAATAAGTATTTTTGAAATCGTCATCGTTTCTACGTAGCTAACGCGAGCGAGCGTTCGATAGGGAACGTGTTCCATTCGGAGAATTAGCCAAAGAGAACAAATAAAAACGAATAGACGAGGACGAAGAAACGAGAAGGAGAGAAAGAAAAACGCACGAGAGCGGTGTAATTGATATTTTCGAACGAGATATTATGCGTCTAATAGAAAGAAGAAAGAATAAAATAAGTGTAAAGTGTCAGGGAGAGAGAGAGAGAGAGAGAGAGAGAGCGAGAGAAAGAGAGTGAGAGAGAGAGAGAGAATCTCGCGTGCACGCAGCATAGTTTCACGATTCTTTGTGTAATAGAGACGATGTTAGCGGAATTTTTGCCAATTTTTTGGTATCGATGCTCGTTATGTTCCTCAGCTTGTCACGATACGAAAGAATATTTATGATAATAATAACGATATGACCACAACATCGTATTTCATTTCATTTCATTCAAAACCGTCATTATCTTTCTTCCTCGCTATTACTTTTCATTTTACCATCTATCGTCTTTAATTCGTATCATTGCGAAACACTATGTAAGAAGAAAGCAAAAAGGATATCGAAATACAGAGTAACATCGTACTCCTGTTAAAAATATAAATCCTACTCCCTTCCGCTGTTCGACTTCTCGCAAGAAATCGGTCGTCTCTTTAAAAATCGCAGCGAGGGGACACCTTGCGAGAGAGGGGGGCGGAGGTAAAAAGGAAAAGTAGCTTACTCAGAGTCTCTCAATACCACTTAACCTCCTTTTTTAAATCCCTGTTTTATTCGCCACGATATAACGTAATTCCTAATGGCCGTTCATGAAAATTCAGCATAAAACGGACCAAATATTCCAGCGCACGAATTATCCACGGCTTTACGTATTAGCACGGATAAGAGGCAATCTCGAGAAGCGATTTTTTTTTTTTCATCAACGATATCCGTGTTCCTGTCATTAAAACAACCCCTTAACGAATCAGCCGATTTTTCACCAAAGTCGATCCGAACGCTACCGGTTAACAAACGTTATTTTATCAAACGCTCGCCGATTGAATCGTGTTTCGCTGGCATTATTACTCCATTTGTTTCCGCGTCACAGGCAATAATGCTGATGAAATAATTCAATTACCCGTTTTGCATGCGATACGATCATCATGGCGGTGCGCGTGCAACACGGCCCCGCTCTACTCCTAACTTTCACCCCTATTAATCTTCGAAGATGCGCTATTCACCACCGACTAATCCGTTTATTCTTTTAAATCCGAAATCCGATATCTCGTTCGAAAGGCCACGCTCTGCCGCGTCACGCTTTTACTTACACGAGAGGCTTAAACGCTTGTTGTGTTTTGTACTTTTGTTTTTTTTTTTTTTTTTTTT